AAGAAGGCAAAGACCTAAAAGAACGTTGATTTTTACCAATCATGAGTTTGTGGAAATTTTAAATCTGATGATGGCGCTGTTGTCTCGCCGAAACGTATTGAAATAACCGATTTTAATTCACACTTTGACTGAGACCCAGGAAAGATTAGAATATCATAATTGTGTCTTCTGTTTGCATGCTAACTTAGTTAATCTATGCTAACAACATCTTGTTTTTACCACTAATTTCCATGTTCATAATCAATTTTTTTTTAAGTGCTTCGGTTCTTCGCAACAAATCTTAATCAAAATATACTCATAAAATAAATAATTACATACACCCTGTATATGTTACTACCAAATATCACTATTTAAGTGATAAACTAGTAAAAGTTACCTCTGCTCTCCTATGCGAACTCGATAACAGATCGTTCACTTTAACATCGCTGTTGTTTTCCATGTTTACCCAAAAATCATTTCCATGAAAAGGCTCGCTATTGTCTAAATAAACAGCGCTGTTGTAAAAAACGTGAGTGTCCTGAAAAGCAAAAAATTATATGAAAAATGTATACGTAATTGATTGGTAATCGGCCAAGAATCAGACCTAAATGCAAATACTAGAAAAGTAAATTTTCTCATTGGAAAAGATAAATAATTTCATAAAAACGCCATAATCTATGTATAACCGAGCTATTTTTGCGTGTAGCAATTTATCTGTATTAATTAAACAAGTTTTGCTTAATGAGTGGCAGTAGCATGATATTTAGAAAGGGAATATGGAGGCATTTTTTCACGAGTAGTTTGATCACATTAATTGGCAGCAAAATTGATTGTTTGTTTATTGTAAATTGTATAATTGTGCACTTAACGTTGTTGCAAACAGGAGCAAAAATCAATTAATTTTAATAACTTGATTTTGATGAGAAAAAAAACATTATTCAGTTTTTCATAAACAACGCTTAAGAGTTATTTAAAACTTCCAACAAAGACTTGAATATTTGCCTCTCCAAGAGAATAATATTAGGATGAGAATTAGTTACCGTTTTAATGGTAGTGATATTGCTGTTTTCGAATTCTTTTTTGTCAATTTCGTCGCCCACGCCCACGTCTTCTGGTGTTAGATTGGGCGGCGAAACGTTCACGGTTTTATCCGGTTCATCTTCGTCATTTAGAGTTAAATGAGGAATCGACTTGGGTGGAAACATGTTCCGAAGAGTTTCTGATAGGTCCGTAGTAACGTTTCGCTTTTGTCCGGTACCATTTACGCCCAGATTACGCCACTTCCAGTTGGGTTCCATTAAAACATCTTCAG